TTATCACTTTCCGCTCAAATATTCGTGCTTTGGTTGTAACTCTTTGACGTGATGTGGCATATTCAAGATTTATCCATGACTCTGAGATCGACAAGGAGAAACATTTTTTTTTAAGACGAAAAATAAAGACAAAGAAAAGTAAAATGACATTTAGAATGTTTATTTCATAATAATTGTCCTAACAAAATATCACAATGAAACATTCATAAACTAATGGATGGCATTATCATGTAGGCCTACAGTCAAATCGGTTTTAGCGATCAACTGTTTATATACAAAGATCGTATACTTTATTTGTATCGAAATACACTGTTATAAAGATCATCAGATCTGTCTATAATGATTACTCTTTCTGCTCAGGTTTGACTGGACATACGAGTGAAGAAAATGTGCAGCTGCCTACTTATATACTCGTTTACCATTACGTAGTGAACAATTTACTATTACACATTTTGCCATAAATAATATTACTTTACATAAAAAGAAGCTAAGCATTTATGCTAATTTTAAGTAATTTCTTATTTAGTTGCTATCTTTCTACTTGTTTTAATTTCTACAATTTTTTCCCGGATAAGTTTGTCTTACTTGCTATAATATTACGACACTTATTAGTAAAAGATTCGGCATTAACTCTTAATACATGACTATACATTTGACCTGTACTAGACAATCTAATGAAAATAATTGGTATAATGCTTAGAATATGTCATATCAACATAAGACTGTGGAAGATCTTAACACTTTCAAAAGAGGTGACTTTTTAAAAACGCTATCATACGGTTGAGCCAAACGGGTCGTCACTTCAGCTATTTTTATGCAGTATATTTTCTTCCCACCTTCTTGTCACAGCGCTGTCTCCCTCTACGATGATATAGAGGAGAGTGATAGAGACAAACCTTGGTTTCCAGCTCAGAGCAAATAGTTGTAGAGAATCATGTGAATTATCACACAAAATTGGAATAAAGATGTGTAAATAAAGTTTTACAAGTCACATCAGTTTGCAAATCACTGACTTACAACTGCATGCCTCTATACGTAGCTGATAATTTCCTGTGGTTTAGGAAAGAAGCAATACTCGTTGCTGGAGCTTTACTAATTACTAGGGAACTCAGCCATTTCTATCAAGTCTTTTAAATAATAATGATAAGCATGACCAATTCAATTTAGCTCTGTAATGAAATATTTGAAACTGTAAAATAAAATTTCTAGCACGATATAATTTCAGGATTTAGGAAGAACAACATGTAAGACATGTAAAATTACATGATGATTGAAGTACAAAACAATTATTCATTTCCCAATATGAAATTGTAAAATAATTTCGTCTACATGTCATCGTGTTTCTGATATACGTTGAGAACTAACTAAACTTGTAATTGTATACAATATTTAACAAACAAATAATTTCTTACAAAAAAAATTACTAAGAAATGGTGCATCTTTACCGTGATGTCATCATTGTCACGAATTCTGCAAGAGAAAAGAAATGACATCAAATATGGTAATAATTTTAACAAAACTTAGCGAAAAAATTGTCATGTTGAGATGAGATAATTTAAAAGCCTATTGAGTTCATGGAAATATATAAACCACTATGCGTTGAAAGTAGAGACGAATGGAATCGGGAACGAATACACAATGTCTAAATGAATTAGCTAGTATCACTATATTTGTTAATGTTCTACTCTAAACTGATATTTTAGTTTTCTATTTTTCCCCAAGGCACCCAGGTGGTTATTCTGTTAAGTTATTAAAACTGAGCACTTATTTTGTCTATTATAGCGCATGTAATCGGGTCAGAGAGGTAGGGGGAAATAATGTACAGGACAGTGCGTGATAACTCACAATCTGTTAAAGCCAATTTTGCTCATTGAACCCTTTGATGAGTACTTCTAAAGAAAATAATCAACCCGTGAAATAACCCCATTGTGAAGGCAATTTTTTTATTTTCGACACAGAGTCGTGAAGCTCTCATTTTAATGCTATAGTTGTTTTAATGGGTCATAATTTTGTCTGGGAGTAAGTCTTTTGTTGAATCATTGTGCCGCAATGTCACTTTTTTCATGCCTATACGCACTAGTTTGTGTATACAAAATATAACCATCATGTGTTTTCAACTGAAATTTTTTAAACCACAAAATATAAGTTAACGTGATCCTCACTTTCTGCCATTAAAACATACCTTCATAATTAACTTGACCATCACCATCGATGTCGGCTTCCCTGATCATCTCATCCACCTCTTCGTCTGTCAGCTTCTCACCAAGGTTCGTCATCACGTGACGTAACTCTGCAGCACTGAGAAGAGAACAAAGAGAATATGTAAATGTATAGCGTTACATCAATATTGATAACTTACTTTAATGGCAGTGAACCTGCCCACAAAGTTGACCTCAATTTTAATGACTAAACGTCATTATAACCTAATACATGATAAGTATGTTCTTCATTATTGTCATTAATATACCACAGTCAATGTACAGTAATATAATCATCATTATCATTATCATACTATCATCAATATTACCACCACTACCATCATTTTAACCATCATTCATACATCTCATATTGATTTGATTTGATTTGATTTATTGGTTATAATCTTCTTTACTCCATTATCTTGCTCGTCGAACCTTTCACCAAACCAATCCGATACCATCCTTATATAAGAACCGCCTTTCCTTCTTCTTCTTCTCCTTATTTTCTTTTCTTTCACCATCACCATTCTTACACCGTAGTATCATCGTCGTCGTCGCCACCACTATCACCATCCATAACTTTCATCAATCTTTCATTAAAATCCTTTTTCTCCCCATGCATTCCAAAATTTGTTCAAGTGTTTCACGATGAAGTGTTTCATGTTGAAACAAAATTACTTACCTGATGAAGCCGTTACCATCCTTGTCGAAGACCCTGAAAGCTTCTCTGATCTCCTCTTCACTGTCAGTCTCCTTCATCTTCCTTGCCATCATCGTAAGGAACTCTGGGAAGTCGATCGTTCCATTACCTGTAGAAGGAGGTAAACAAATAAAAGATTGAATTTATTTTATTATTTTCTCTTGAGGGAAAGAAATGTAGAGCAGTTGAAATACATAATGAATAGACCTACTTTCTTTTTACCCTTTTATTTTCTAGCAATATAATATTTATATAAACGATCTAATAAATATGTATAACTTGTAAAGCACACACAATAAAAATGGTATGTCAGAGGAAGGAATGGATCAAGGGCTCATTCGAATGGTCAGGGAAAGGATAACAAGAAGGAATAAATTAAGGCAATAAGAAGGGAATGTTATTATCATATTTTGTAGGCAGAAGATCTTGTTTTATATAGTTCAAATACATATTAATTCCTATGTTGATAGACTTTTCTTATATTAATCAATTTTAAACCCTTACTATATTCGATGTTGAATTAAATATGTGTCACCCGCTTTCCATAATAAGTGAACCAGGCTACGCCACCGACATTAAATAACAGTGGTTCTCATCGTAGTACAAAGATCACTCCGGTAAAGTTTGGCGATTACCGCCCTCTACGCTCAACTAGTAGTAAACTCTTTCATGAGGTTCACTACCCAACGGAATGGTAGTATAGAATGATTCTGTATAAGAAATTTTCTGCATGTAAATGATAGCTGAGAATGAAATATTAATAATATTAAATGGCTATATATATAGCGCCGGTATATCTGCCAGTTACTGACGATCGCGGCACTCAACAAATCATTTAGCTGAAACTAAAGAGAGATTAAGGAGAGAATGAATGAGAGACAGAGAGAGGGGGAAGAGAGTGAAATAGAGGGAAAAGGAGGTGAGAAGACATAAAGGGATAGTGAGGGGTTGAAGAGATGAGAACGAAGAAGATAGAGAGCGGGATAACATGAGAGAAAAAAAGAGAGAGGGGTAATGGATAAGAAGTACGATTTATCGTTTAGGGGATCAGAAGAGAGAGAGAGAGAGAGAGACGAAAATGGTAATTTGATATATTATATTGTGCCTTCTCATGCTTATCTCCTTTCTATTGCGCATTTCTCTTTCCTCATCTTCTTCCCAACACCACATGCAGCTCATCATTTTGTTTTTATTTTTCTGTACCCCCGATTACCGCCATCTACGCTCAACTAGTAGTAAACTCTTTCATGAGGTTCACTACCCAACGGAATGGTAGTATAGAATGATTCTGTATAAGAAATTTTCTGCATGTAAATGATAGCTGAGAATGAACTATTAATAATATTAAATGGCTATTTATATAGCGCCGGTACCGGCCTCTGCCAGTTACTGACGATCACGGCACTCACCAAATCATTTAGCTGAAACTAAAGTAAAAGTAACATTATACAAAGCACTTACAATACTAAATACAAATCTAAACTCTAAACAAAGAGAAATCGTTCTTAATCATGAAATAAACAAAAATCATTTACAACCTAATACTATAAGGCTATTTTACATGTGTAAGTCATTCATGATCTAAGGGCATTGCTTATCCGGAACAAAGGTGTGCTTTTTACTACACCTGATAAACTAAAACCATCTTAAAATCGCAAAATTTTAATCGAAACTTTATTGATATAATCATCAACAACAACATCAGCAACAAAATGAGTTACGTGAAGATTTCTGCCCATAGTGATGGATGCATCTAATGATGTATCACACATCTTAAGTAAAGAGGATGCTAAGAGGAGAATTAAGCAGCAAAACAAAAATTCTTGATAATTTAACAGATTACAAAGGCGAGTCATACATGATATAGATCGTCCATTTCAAGAGCTGTCTCCAGGATGAAAGGAAAACAAGTTTATAACTGGAGGGATAACGTGAGGGAGACGCTTGCTGAAAAATTATAGTACAAATGGATTTAAGAAAGGGGAATGAGCCGGATGGAAATATTCATTTCTAAGCACTATACATTAGTTTCCCCGAGGCGACAGAACATGAATGTTTTACCTACTCATGGTTAGGTTGGCGAGAAAAGTTCTCGCACATTCAGAATTTGCTTTTAGTCTTTGCATTAACCATTATGATAATTCATCTCGCCTTTGTACCGCTCGTGCTTATAATGAAAGTATACTTGAAGAGTATTTGCCCTAGCGTGAAATTAGTATTAGTGCCTACTTACATTGAGGGTAAGGAGGTGGAGAGAGTGTGAGAGAAACAGGGAGGAAGAGAGAGAGAGAGAGAGAGAGAGAGAGAGAGAGAGAGAGAGAGAGAGAGAGAGATGTGGAGAGAATGGATGAGAGAGAGGGGAGAGAAAGAGAGTGATAAAGAGGAAAAGGGGGTAAGAAGACAGAAAGGGAGAGTGAGGGGGGGGGGGGGTGAAGAGATGAGAACGAAGGAGAAAGAGCGGGATAACGTGAAAGAAGGAAAGAGAGAGGGGTAATGGATAAGAAGTAGGAAAATGGGATGGGGATCAGAAGAGAGAGAGAGAGAGAGAGAGAGAGAGAAAGAAAGAGAGAGAGAGAGAGAGAGAGAGAGAGATGCAAATGGTAAAAGTGAATGGACGACATAAAAAATAGAGATGATAGAGAAAAGACTGGGATGAGAAAATACTACGGAGAATCAAAGGGGAAAAGGGCGCTAGGGAGCGAGAACAAAACCGGAAGTTTTGATCAACGGAGGAGAAATATCATTATCCTCAACCGTCCTTCGTAACCATGGTGATAAGGGATCGCTCTAAAGGTTTTCAGAAATGCTCCTCCGATTCTTTCATTCGAGGCTTTTCTTGCCTGAATCTTTCATGACAATCCATGACAAGAGTCACTTATTCATCTTATATTTACACATCCGTGTACGATGTGCAGTTGGCGTGAGATTTAATGCTACTCAAGGAGCATAATTTTTATACTTTATCTGTTTTCTAACATTCACCCGTATCCCCTCTTGTCTCCCGTTTTCTGGAATCCGCCTTTGAAATTATAATTGTCACAGTTTGAATGGATCGTACGCATGTGTAATGAAAAATAATATTTTCGGAGAAATCACGAGAAAAAAACTGCCATAATGTCATAACATTCACCTAAAAGACGCTAAGTTCATGACCTTTCCCCAAATATAAACCTAGCAAAAATGTTTGTGTGAATACAGAAAACAGACTGCATATTCTTTGGGATAATTTGTTGTTGTTGTATGTGTCCTAACTTTGATGAATGTATTCATCCGTGTGGTTGTGACAGGACGGAAAATTTCCCCGCAGTAATTATGTAAATTCAATGACATGGGGGCTTTGCAAGTCTGGCTATGCATATTTTGATTGTGGTAGCAGAAAAGCAGCCTGCTGGAGTTAATGTTGGTGCCTTGTGGTTTCCCAATTCTTAGAATCTAGGAAACAACTTGGTACACACATCATATTATTATAAATGAAGCTAGTGCAGAGTATTTTATGCAAACAGGCAAGCCAACCTTGGGTGGAAAGACAATGTTTTGAAAAGAGAATGTCAGATGAAAACGAAATTCATATCATCCGCAATTAGGATGTCTACACTCTCAAATGACACTTCTTTTAATAATGCATCACTAAATACATTTTTGTCTTGAAAATGTTGTTGCGAATTTCACTTTTTCAGCAAAATTTTGAGATGACTTTTTGTCAATCGGTAAGGATACCGCTATATAGTCGTCAAACAGTTTATGTACATCATCATACTGAATGGGATAGTATGGATCCAAGTGGTAATGAAATGATAGATAAAATGTATTCATCCGTACACTTCAGGGGCATTTCATATACCACTTTCAGATATGAAACATTGTTTTAAAAAGATTTAAAAAACCTGGGTGAATAATGAACCAGCATAAAGAGTATAGTCTCAGAGAACTGCAAATGCAGAGAAGACAAAATGCAAGTCGAATTTGTACCTAAAAGTAGATTTTATTGATTATCACGTTTTTTTTCACTGATGGAGTACCTGCAACATATACCAACGAACATAAGCAATGGTTAATTATTGTGGCAGCAGCCAGCAGCATCTAGACTACCTTCTTCAAGTGACACAGCGGCCCTGAGTGTTTGGGTGTCATGCTTACATCCAGTTCAAAATCCGCCAAAGGTTTTAGTTTTTCTGACAGAAGGTTAACACAATATGTGAGTTGTGTTGTAGAGAGAAGCAATCGATTAGCAAGGCGGAGGAATGTTTGCCCGTCAGAATATTAAAGCACATGGCATGATGATGTCATGATTGTATATTCAATATGAAACAAAAAGGGAGATGCACATGCATGCTCTTTCCGGTTTAAATGAAGCGTGTCATATATTTTTCTTCACATAAAACGGCTTAGTACGTGGACTAAGAAAAAGAGAATACCAGGATGTGCCCCCCCCCTCAACAATGGCTGTTCGAAATTTACAGGATTCCATGATTTTTATTTGAAACCTTTGTATCATTTCATGAAATCTCATGGCATTTTCCCTTTTTGCTTGTTTTTAAAATGTGATTGTTGTGGGTAACTTTGATCCATCACCTCGCTGCCCATCCTGCATCTTCTAGCAATGCCTCCACAAAATATGACGGTACACAGTGATTAATTTCTGGTTTCATTCCAGCCCTAACTATTGTTTTATTTACGAATGGATGTGGAATGAAACATGCATGGATATCGAGACCATACTGGCTTGCATAAAAGTGAATTAGTAAAGTAATAAATTAAATATAGGCTATAGCTATCTTGCAGAAAAAGAGACGCTTCATTTATTGCCGGAATATATAAGAAAAGAGCGTTTGACCTAAATAGAGCAAAAAACAACATGGTAGTTAACCTTTCCAAAACAGTAAAGAGGTGAATAGAGCAGGAGAACGATAATGTATGAGAAAACTAATCTAATAAAATGTCACTGGTCACAATTGAAAGTATAAACTATATAAATACCCTATATTTGTTACCTGTAAATTATGTTACTAGACATGCAAAAATAACAAACTCAGCCCTGCGCAATTGAAATATTCCTGTGTTGACCTTCTAAACTTGATAAAGATGGAATTAGAAAGAACGGTGATTACAGAGTCGATTCTGCAGACGATGGCGCGCTAAAGCAAATGGGCCCCAAAACGCGTTACCAAGGCAACGAAACATACGCATTATATCGAATTCAAGGTCATGAATTTTGTCCATTTCTTGAAGCTACCAAGAATAGTAGAAGATGCTCTCTAGGGAGGAACTTAGCTCTTTCACCGTAAAGAGACCATGCATTGGTCAAGCTCAGAAGAACTTGCATTAACAGATTTACATTAAAGCTTTAAAGTATTAAGAGCTGGATATAGATCTGTTTCTATATAGGTGAGAAACCATTAAGATATCAATAGGCGATGGTGGCCTACGGTGAGAATAGAGAAAATTACAGCTGCACCTAAAGCTAATGGGTGACACGGATTATCCATTCACATATTTCTTTTGAATGATCAAGGATAATTCTTGAATGATCAGTTATTTCATGAGGATACCAATTAATTTGTACTATAACTGTTTATATGCTTGTATATTTGTCTATTTTGTTTTTGCTGCTCTTATTTGTTTTATTCTTACCAAACAGGGCCTCATGGAAGACCACCAAATTGGTGATATGTGCCACCCTGTATAAATATCAGCAATAAATAAATGAATAAATATATAGATAAATTATAGAATATTTAAGGATTTATCTTTTTAAAATTCTCAAAAAATGTCCTTGTTGATTGGTCTTTTGCATCTCCGTGCATCACACAGAAGCACAATATCAAGGAAAATGGAGTTCACTTACCATGATTGTGTTTATTAGTTTGTTTGTTTGTTTGTCTGTTTTATGGGGGGGGGGGCTAGACAGTTATAAAGTGCGACCCAGAAAAAACGAAACCGAGAATTATCGATGTTTTATCATAACTTAATCACAATTGTAATTAATAAATGACACATATTTGTAAAGCTTAGATCCTCCTCTTTCATTTGATACAACTTATACGATGCATATTTCACGCATGAGTGATTAAAAGCAATTTGAAGGAAGGAAAGCAAAAAGTCATTTGGCGGGCGGTATCTGAATTTCGAAGAAAAAATCACATTTCTACTTCTAGAAAGTTCAGTTTCTGCCCTTTCATATATGACACCTCAATCAGGAAAAATGAGCAAGGAATGACAAAGTTCTGTTTGTTTAAAGTGATGCTTGTAATGAGCAAGGAATAACAAAGTTCTGTTTGTTTAAAGTGATGCTTGCATTTCCATACTTTGATTTAAAAAGTTCGTTTTCACTGGCTGCCTGCCGTAACAACAAGCAGAATTGACAAAAGACTTAACTCCGTTTCATTGACAATCAGCCATGCATGAAGTCTTTCGTCTATGTCTGATCGTCTACGAAACGGAGTTAGTGAAAACGAATTCGTTTAATCAAATTATGGAAATGCAAGCATCACTTTAAACAAACAGAACTTTGTTATTCCTGGCTCATTTTTCCTGATTGAGGTGTCATTATGAAAGAGCAGAAAATGAACTTTCTAGAAATGTGAATTTTTCTTCGAAATTCAGATACCGCCCGCCAAATGACTTTTTGGTTTCCTTCCTTCAAATTGCTTTTAATCACTCATGCGTGAAATATGCATCATAATATGAGTTGCATCAAAATAGAGGAGGATCTAAGCTTTACAAAATATGTGTCATTTATTAATTATAATCGTGATTAAGTTATGATAAAACACGGTCGCACTGTAGAAAGCAAGACACCATACATTTTTCCCAAACCACCTGATGAAAATCTCTCATGCATCCGAGATTCGGCGTTTAAATCATGATATCCATAATTGTTGTCTGCGTGTTCTGTTGCAGATACGAATGATCCTCATTTTCGGCGCTCCCAAAAGCCAATATGAAGTGGAAGCGTTGTGACATTATATCACTAAATGCTCTATTCATTGCGGTAAACACGCTGCATGCAGGCTCATACTCAGTTCCTCCTTGCCCGCTAGAAGCCATGTTGTTGTTTCATTATCTTGTCACAAGCCATTACGGTCCCATCTCCTGCAGACTATTTTCCCACAGGGACACCATAGAAATGCTACTATCATCGCACGGTGACTTAAAATAGAGAAGGCGAAAGTTCAGTGCCCCAGACGGGTTTAATACATTTTCATTACAAGGAAAAAGATGATATAATGAACGGATGGGAATTGGTATGGATACGGTTTGTCAGCACAAAACATGACGCTATGCATGTTGATTAATATCTAAACTTTATACAGTAAGTTTTGGGGATAAGATCGGAGAGAGCACAAAGGGAGTGGAGTGTCTTGCCAGCCTGATTCGAAATGAAGTCACATTATAGCCATACAGGATGTTATCGTATCGATTACAGTTTAATGAAAATTCATGCGTCCTATTACGTGATCTCAATACATCCATTAATGTATCTTCGGAAATGCTATTTGTGAATGTTTTCCACAATGAGTGCGCCATTCAAAAGAAATTCTATTGATTCCCTTTATAAACAAAATCGAAATAGCATTTAAGAGATGCTTTTTCGGTTCGCAGAACACAAAGACGATTTTTGTTTTTAAATTACAAAAGCGAGAATAGGAACGGTAGTTGGAATATCTTCAATTCATTGCTGAACATTAATTATGTAAATGTAATTTAGGCCTATGGTGTACAAACGAATAACACCAGTAGAATTAGAGTTTCTGCAGTAAAAATGGGTTTTGATATTCATAGGAATTTGGGTAACTGGTCTGAAAGAGTGCTGATTATATGTACAGATAAGGGAAGGTTCGGATTTGGGATAGATGTTTTATCAGCTACCCATCAGCTTTTTATTGTTTATAATTATGTCCCCATCATCTGCCTCTTTTGTTGTCAATCATTTTGGAGTTTGTGGAGTTTGGAGTTTGCGAAATTTATATCTTTAAAAAAAGAGCTGCACTATAACACATGAGATTTTGAAATGGAATGATAATGTATGGTAAGATAAAAATGGACTAGGATCCCGTCTTATAAAGAGTTGATATAGATCGTAACTTATTTGCAATTGATATCAATCGCAACTACATGTATGTTCATACGAGATAGGAGAATGCAAACGTACGATTGATTGGAAGACTTGCGATTGATTTGGATTAATCGCAACTCTCTATAAGAGGGGGCCCACATTTATATTGATAGCTGTCCCTCATAATTATGCCCAACATTGATTATGTATGACCTCTACTAACCTACCTAGTCTTATATATCTTCATGCATAAGCTTACTAATTACACGTTTGAGTCGAGAGGTACACATGGATGATTAGAAGACCCAATGACGTGTACCACTCCATCCCCTTGGGATGAAGGGAGGATGAAGACGTGTCTGATTTGTGGAATCACTCAACGCACTCAGGTGATGAGGAGAATAAGGCCTAGTTTTAAAAACAAGATCTTTCGTACCACTCTCGTATCGTTCTTAATTTACATGTATGAATTTTGTGTATAAATAAGTCCTATGAGATATCCAATATCCAGATATCCTATGTCAGTTTTTAAGTATATTGTTCAGACACCTTTATCTGCTGTGTAACTGTCTACCCTCCCTCCCATCAAACTAACTAATGATTATAACTACCCGAATTGAATTGTTCAGCGATGAATTAAAATTGTTTTGACGTAATATTATTTCTCTAAAAGCAACTATCCATAATTAATATTACGTGGATAATAAAACAACTTATAAACATAGAGAAAACTTGGTGTTTGTATATTCAGAATAAGACATCCTCGGTCGAGTGTATAAGCATTGTTCGTTTGCACTGACACGCACTGAATCCTTCATAACAAGCAATGCATATAGACACCGCCCAATCCTCAATTAATTCGCATGAAGTCACACACACCCCCTATAATACAGGAAAACAATCAAGAAGCGACACCAACTATAAAGAGGAATTATAGAAGGGGGAGAAGATGGTGGACTAATGCAGACCAAGTAATTAAAGAGGCACCGAAGTGACAGGACAATCTATTCACGATCTTCCTCTTTCGGTCTTACCCTTAGATGTTCTGATTTATTGTGGTCGTTTCCTGATTGTTTCCCTATAATCAGTTTCATAATCCATCATCTTAAGTGTCATTTCCTATTTACCTTCCTTTCCGTTAGTATAAGCAATGTAGAAAAGGGGACAGGGAGTCCTAGCCCCCAAGTTCATTCTCCGTCAGTACCGTTGTTGGAAAATTTGCTTTTCTGTCAAACTATTTACAAATCAATACATTTCCATGAATGTGCATCTTACATCTCTCTAACTGATTTGTAGAAATAAATAAGTATTAATATCAATACATTGGATATGAATGTAAATCGTTATATTTTTTCTCGGTAGCCTGAATTGTGTTTTAGCACCCCACCTGTTGAAAATGTAGCTATAGGTATGTTTATATACATGAACATGCATGCTATATTTCCTTTGAAGTTTGTATTCATCACCCCCATCTCTCTCTCTCTCTCTCTCTCTCTCTTGTGTTACACCGCAAGTCTTTCAAGTCGACGTTCGATTTCTCATTTACCTTTTCCCTCCTTCTGAATCCATAAGTACTCTATTTAACTTTCCTTTCATCTCTTTAAAAACTCTTGTTTTGTTGTTCTGAATGATTCCCCACCCCTTTCTACCTAGATAGTCTTCTTGCACCACCCCCTCGTCGTTAACATACCATCAGCATCGACCTCATTGATCATGTCCTGTAGTTCAGCCTCGGTAGGGTTCTGACCAAGTGATCTCATGACGGTACCCAACTCCTTCGTGGTGATTGTACCATCACCATCCTTGTCGAACAGAGAGAAGGCCTCCTTGAACTCTGAAAGGTACAAAGAAGATGAGAAAATCAGTGGCCAGATCTGGTCCCATGCTCCATTAATGCCGAAATATGGAAATAAAAGAGAGAGAGAGAGAGAGAGAGAGAGAGAGAGAGAAAGAAAGAAAGAGAAATAGAGAGAGCAAAAGAAAGAAAGAGAAATAGAGAGATAGAGAGAGAGGGGAGAACTAGAGAAAGAAAGAGAAATAGAGAGAGGGAGGGAGAGAGAGAGAGAGAGAGAGAGAGAGAGAGGGAGGGAGACAGATAAAGAGAGGGAGAGAGAGAGAGAGAGAGAGAGAACGAGAGGGGGGTGGGGGGAGTAAAGATTGGATCCCTTCTCGCACCCTCCGAGAATCAATGGCCTTGTTAATACGCATTTCAGTCATCGAGTAAGAGTTGGTGCCCCTCGTGAAACCCCCTCCCCCTCTCCATCAGTGGCTGGGCCCACGCTACGCCCGCGGTGAGAATTATTATTCAGTCTTATTTAATGTCTTCCTTTTTATCGAGCGATGACTATACATTCTGCGTTTCAACGCAAGTTGTGTATGTCAGCTGACAATTGGTCAATATAAAATATTTTGATATATCAGCAGTATGACGTAGGGGAATAATGCTGTTATTAAAAAAAAAGCTATGTTAATTGTGCCTGAAAGCAAAACAAACAAGAACCATGAAAGCAATTCAGTAATCACACTATTGAATATCAGGTTCCTGCTGTTTGATATCATATATTTACAACTTTTGAGGGAAAATTAGTACCATGACATCTTGAAAGTGCACAAGTAGACCGCAATGACGTCATCTCCGTTAGATATGAAGTGAGCAAAAAAAGAAACTAAGTTAAAAAAGGGAACTTTCTCGCTTGCTGAAGGTACAAATCATGAATCTAAACGAAGTGGGACAGTTGAGTTAATCAAGTTTACATGTAATTAAAAGGTGTCTCTTCGTTCTATTTCTAAAATGCCACGTGCACTTTGCCTTGCGCCATTGCAATGGTCCAAACTCTATTTATTTTATTGAAGAAGGCGAGACGCATGTCCTTGGATTGGAGGAATGAATGCATCAAATCTCACCTTCCTGAAAAAGAAGGACTATGCATTCTCTCCGATTTTATCCCCAATCCTCATTTCATGAAGGAAGATGATACCGCAAACTGATCTTTAGCTAACTAAATTTGGAAATGCCGCCGGGCTATGGGGTTCCATGACACATGCTCCGCCGACGATTGCTCCGCCGACATTTACTCCGCAAAACGCGACAATTGCTCCGCGACATTTGCTCCGCGACATTTGCTCCGACGTCAAATGCTCCGCCGACAGGTGCTCCGCCGACAGTTGCTCCGCCGACAGTTGCTCCGCCGACAATTGCTCCGCCGACAGATGCTCCGCCGACAATTGCTCCGCCGACAATTGCTCCGCCGACAATTGCTCCGCCGTCAATTGCTCCGCAAAACGCGACAATTGCTCCGCCGACATTTGCTCCGCCGACATTTGCTCCGCCTGAAGCGACACTTGCTCCGCCGACATTTGCTCCGCCGACATTTGCTCCGCCGACAATTGCTCCGCCGACAATTGCTCCGCCGACAATTGCTCCGCCTGAAGCGACAATTGCTCCGGTGACATTTGCTCCGCCGACAATTGCTCCGACGACATTTGCTCCGCCGACAATTGCTCCGCCGACAATTGCTCCGACGCCATTTGCTCCGCATGAAGCGACACTTGCTCCGGTGACATTTGCTCCGACGACATTTGCTCCGCCCAAAAAGTGTCCCATTAAATACAAATGCTAATAGTACTACGACAAATGCTTCACCGACAATATTTTTTTTTCACGGGTTGTTTTTGTTTCTTTTTTTTTCTTCATTTTCTGAATGCATTTCTTGAAATTATGTAAATGAAATGAAATGAATGAATGTTGATGATGTGGGAGGAAAAAGCAGTTGCCTAAAAGTCATTTCGAATATACTGAAATAACTTTCCATCTATCACTGTACGTCCCACATAATGTACACTAAACACTCATTACATGTCATGGGAAGTTTGTTTTTTTAAAGTAGAGCAGCAAGCCACATTCCCCAATACGCGCATACCTCCTAGTTAATTTCAAACAGCTCATCAATATGTAAGACCTGAAATTACCTCAATGAAAGAAGACTAATAACATGAGAGGAAAGAAAAGAGCAAAGAAGACAACCGTTTTTTACTATTCCCCATAATGTTTGATTTAAAAAAATAAAAAATAAAGTTATAGCTCCTTACGCAAGTTCTCCGGCGAAAGATAATTACTCCGCTCAAAATCTGTTTCATGTATTACTCATTAGCTGATCCAAAGCTCAAGGCTATCTCTCTCTCTCTCTCTTTCTCTCTCTCCCATGCTCCTCCTTTTCCTGTTTACACCGTTTTCTTGTCTTCTTTGCTCTTTTCTTTCCTCTCATGCTATTAGTCTTCTTTCATTTCCATCACTTCTTCTCTGCTCCCCCTCTCGAGTTCTATTTCTCTCGTGAAATTGAAACCTAAAGTAATACAATCATGTAGTACATTCTTGTTTAGAATAATATTTTCAATAATATCCAGTCCATTTTCTAAAGGTTTCTTTCCTTTAGTTAAGTGTATGTAGCTTTAATATATATATATATATATATATATATATATATATATATATATATATATATATATATATGTTAGTGTGTAAAACACTCCGTTTCATTCGAGTACTTTGTTTTCACTGAATAATTTAAGGGACTCACGAAGCCACCGGAAGAAGAGCAATTGGCTTATCATGAAGAACTAACATCAAACTGCAACAAAATGATTTGTATAAATGTGAATAAGCAGAAAGGCTGCCATCTCATTTTCCCGTCTGAATGGGTTCTCTTCCTTACGTATATAAGTGCCCTTATTTTCTAAACTTCCATGATGACCTAGTACACTGTATAATGCTTTACCTAGTAAGATGCATTGATCGAGGTAATTTCAGGTCTTACATATTGATGAGCTACTTGAAATTAACTAGGAGGTATGCGCGTATTGGGGAATGTGGCTTGCTGCTCTACTTTTTTTTAAAACTTCCCACGACATGTAATGAGTGTTTAGTATACATTATATGGGACGTACAGTGATAGATGGAAAGTTATTTCAGTATATTCGAAATGACTTTTAGGTAACTCCTTTTTTCCTCCCACTTCATCAACAATCATTCATTTCATTTCATCTACATTATTTCAAGAAATGCATTCAGAAAATGAAGAAGAAAAAAAGAAACGAAAAAAATAGGTGTAAAGAAAATATTGTCGGCGAAGCATTTGTCGTAGTACTAGTAGCATTTGTAGTTTATGGGACACTTTTTGGGCGGAGCAAATGTCGTCGGAGCAAATGTCGGCGGAGCAATTGTCGCTTCAGGCGGAGCAATTGTCGGCGGAGCAATTGTCGGCGGAGCAATTGTCGGCGGAGCAAATGTCGGCGGAGCAAATGTCGGCGGAGCAATTGTCGCTTCAGGCGGAGCAATTGTCGGCGGAGCAATTGTCGGCGGAGCAAATGTCGGCGGAGCAAATGTCGGCGGAGCAATTGTCGCTTCAGGCGGAGCAATTGTCGGCGGAGCAATTGTCGGCGGAGCAAATGTCGGCGGAGCAAGTGTCGCTTCAGGCGGAGCAAATGTCGGCGGAGCAAATGTCGGCGGAGCAATTGTCGCTTCAGGCGGAGCAATTGTCGGCGGAGCAATTGTCGGCGGAGCAATTGTCGGCGGAGCAAATGTCGGCGGAGCAAATGTCGGCGGAGCAATTGTCGCTTCAGGCGGAGCAATTGTCGGCGGAGCAACTGTCGGCGGAGCAACTGTCGGCGGAGCATTTGACGTCGGAGCAAATGTCGCGGAGCAAATGTCGCGGAGCAATTGTCGCGTTTTGCGGAGTAAATGTCGGCGGAGCAATCGTCGGCGGAGCATGTGTCGGGTTACCGGCTATGGGTATCATAAAACAGTGAAACAAACATGTGATTTTGGGATTTTCCCTATATTATATCAGACTTCTCTCCACTTTTGGCTGAATGAAAAACATTTGAAGTTTACTTGAACATAGCAATCCCGGAGATATAGATTAAGTGGTCTTTAAAATATATACTTTTTTTAATTGTAATTATGCGATTTATTACTTTAAATATTCACTTAGTTTTCCACCGCCTATAGATAATTTGTTTCTCTTCAAGAATTATTAATGCATAATACTAACTAAATACGTGTATTATTAAATACAGTTGATAAAAAGCACTCCTACAGCCAAATTGATTAGGGTTTTTTTTTCTTTCTTTTTTTTCTTTTGTACTAAAATCCAGTCTCAATAAGACGAAGTTTCTTTGGGAACATCAGGTTTACAAACCAGTTAAATAATAGTAGGGGAAAAACTGCTGCAACCAAGATGGAGGCTAGAGCTCCAGGCTCCATGAGGTAACATCATCTAAATGTGGTCGACTTGCCTCAGTCTAAATGCATGTGATTGTGAATCCATGTGTACAGATGAATTAAGGACCTCAAATCAACATAATGATGATATACTGTTTGGCTTGCTTTATATCGCGAGAGAGAGGGAGAGGGAGAGAGAGAGAAAGAGAGAAAGAGAGAGAGATGGTGGGTTGAGAGAGAGAGAGTGTGTGAGGGGGTGAGGAAGAGAGAGAGAGTGACAGAGAAAGACATAGAAAGAGGGGGATGAACGAGGAAAGAGATGGATAGATAGACATAGAGAGAACAAAAACAATTCAGATGATACAATGGAGAGTGAAGACAGTACAGGGGGAATGAGGGAGAAGGAGAAATGTGAGAGCTTCTCTTTGAAATACGAAACTTAAAAAATAGAATCGTTTTCCCTTCTGAATTAACATTTTTCTATGCGTCTATATTTTATTTAATATATAAAATATAGACACATATTATAAGAGTAAGCACAAAGAAAGTGAGAGAGTTTGAGAGAGCGAGGAAAGGGAGAAAAGATATAAAAGGGGGAGAGAGAGAGAGAGAGAGAGAGAGAGAGAGAGAGATTGATTGCGTGAGAAAAGTGCTAAAAAAAGCCAACTGTACAGATTGGCACACACGCAACCACTCTCCTCTTTCTGCTATCTGGCGGGCAGAAACTAGGTTGGAATTCACATTAAGATCATTTTATGTAAACACCTGGGATGACTTGGTGGAAAAGAAACCAAAATCTAACAGATTACCAACAACAACAAAACTTTCGAATTGAAAATCCCACATTTGAATAATGAAGTCAGTCAAAAAGTATTGCAGATTTCTGATTATTTCCATTTTTTTTTTTCGTTTTCAAAATAAAAGCAAATGTCAATCTAATGGGATATTATGTGGTAATACAATGGATTATCATTTGACCCTACGTGTCACTCAACGTTCCCCATCCATGTAAGTTGTGAAACAATCGAATACAATTTAAAGGAAAACAGATGGGATAGATTTTTACGTAATTTACCATTCTTTGCATAACTTAGTGTGCACAATAGACGGTGAAGATACCAGTGATATAGTCGAGACCGGCAGTTCCGAGTCTCGGGGTCCCTACATAATTATTAATGTTATACCTTTCATGATTATGTTTTGGACACAAGATTCGGTCTGCTGCCAAGGCTAAGGACATTTCAGTACGGCCTCGAGACCAGACTCGACTAAAACACTTGAAGATACATATTAATATTAGCATTGCGTGCGAAGCTTATCGACGAGACAACGAATTCATGTTTCATTCAATATATTGGCAGTGACTTTGCTTATTACATACCTGCAATTTGCTCCTCGGTAAGTTGGTCAGCCTGTAGAAGAAATACAAACAAATTATTTTCACACATTTCGATACTTTTCGCAAAAAGAAAAAAAAACGATACCGATTTTGGAGAAGATAAAAATGCCAACAAGCTTAAGATGTGTCTATTTCCATATTTGCCTGGTTAAGATTGTAGTGTTATGTTCTTCCTCTTCTTCTATTTCCAGCTTTATTTCATTTGTCCTTTTCATTTCCCTGTCTTTTTCAATTTCCTTGTTGATTTTCTTGTGCGATGTTATTCCTACTTTGTATATTACTCTATTTTATTGAACCAGTTTTCAATGAATAGTATTTTAATGTAACGTTTAAATCTTTTGTAAATTCAATTTGTTTCATCCTTGAGTTTCTATTTGAGCGTAATGTTTACAAAAATCAATAAACCAGTTTAAAATAAAGTAATATGACTCCAAAAAGAGTAGATTTCTATTCTTAATATATACATTAGAGTGTACACCCAAAAGATTAACATAATCGCAATGTATTTCATCATAATTTAGACTCTTGCCTTAAGTATAAATGGCCTTTAAGCAAACTAGAACACACGGTGCATTAAACCAAGTCTCCGTTCAATAAGGAGAGAAGCAATTTCATAATAAATATTGATCGACGGGAACGAAGCTTTTCTGTGAGACTCAAGTCAAATTCTTTGATTACCTGTGTTTTTATTTTCCCCTCTCGTGCCATTCCTATTCAAGGACGACTGGAAATACAATCTTTGATTTTTTTTTTATCAGGGTTAATATGTGGAGCATCGTCTCTAGTCGGGAGTGGCGAAAATAAAAGGGTGTCGATATAAGGGCGACAAAAGAGCTCCATTCAGCTCTTATCCACCACGTCCGATTTCACGCCATCCACCTCAATACTTCCAACCAAGCTCCATCTCTCTCTATCACTTACCTCTATTATACACTCCACATCTTCTCCCATTGAATATAAAGTATAAGGGAGGTTCGCTTATCCCCATCCTACTCCGAGCGTTTTATGCCGATATGGCTTATTAGATTTGAACGCCAGTTTCTCTTAATCGAAAGTACATCTTTGGATTCCAAACGCATTTATCATTCAAAGCATGAGTAAATACACATCTCGCAAGCATGCATGTGTATTCTGATGAGTGATACATTTTATTTTAGAAAAACAACTATTGGAAATTCAAATTTCCATGGAAAAGCTTTGATTAGCATCTGGTCCATGATTGTCGAGCAAATCAGACAATTACATGCAATCATTAAAGAAAAATAGAATTACACTCTTTAAAAAGTAGAATTGGAATCTACTTAAATAAGGAAGAATTTAGCACTTCCTGGGAAAGAAATAACCTTTAAACAAAACTGAAATTTCTGACGTGTAAACTAATTAGCCATTATTTCTCTGATATAAATCATAATAGTGTTAAATCGATTTTGAAGCCGCTTCAAAGCAGATCCATTACGACTCGGTCTTTGAGATGAGCACATGCAAATAAGATGTATTAGAAGGATTAGGTTGGCGTAGTGTGTGTATTGTTGGCTAGATCCTCGTTAGATGGGCAAATGAATCTCATTATCAAAGTTTTGATTGAAACAGCGAGGGTATCTGCTGCAGTCATAATTAGATTTTGGGTACACGCTTTGTCATCTTGAGCTAGTAGTACCAGGGACAACACATATGAACACTTGACTTGTGGAAGCATATGAGAAAGAGATGGGCTGATGAGGGGAAGGGACAGTCACAGAAGACTGATGTAGGGTGGGGCAATTTGAGAAGATTAATGGTGAGTGGGGAAGTCTCGGAAGACTGATAAGGGATGGGGCAGTCTTAGAAGACTGATGGAGGGCTGGGCCGTCTGAGAAGACTGATGAGGTGGGGCAATTTGAAAAGACAGACATGGGGTGGGGCAAACTCGTGAGACTGATAGAGGATGAGGCAGTCTGAGAAGACTGATGAGGTGGAGCAATCTGAGAAGACTTATGGAAGGCGGGGTAGTCTGAGAAAACAGATAGGGGTGGGACAGTCTCGGAAGACTAATGGAGGGTGGGGCAGTCTCGGAAGACTGATGAAGGGTGGGGCAGTCTCAGAAGACTGATGAGCATGGGGCAATCTGACAAGACCGATGGAGGGTGGGGCAGTCTCGGAATACTGAGAAGATTAATGGTAGGTGGGGGCAGTCTCGGAAGACTGATAAGGGATGGGGCAGTCTCAGAAGACTGATGGAGGGTGGGGCAGTCTCGGAAGACTGAATGGAGGGTGGGACAGTCTCGGAAGACTGATGGAAGATGGGGCAGTCTGAGAAGTCGATTGGGGTTGGACCGTCAGGAAAGACTGATGGAGGGTGGGGGCAGTCTCGGAAGACTGATAGAGGATAAGGCGGTTTCAGAAGTCTATGGGGGTATAGGGCAGTCTGAAAATACTGTCACCCTCATAATTTTGCTCAAAGCATGCGGAAGAGATAACGGAATGATATATCGCGGTAAGAATATGATTAACACTTGAATATTAAATAAGAAGCAACAGGGTTAGAGTAATACGGGGGTCAATTTAGGAGAAACTCGGGGAAAAGGAATAAGTGGGACGAATACACGAAAAATATTCTTGTATAATAATAAGGAGTAAAAAGGAGAGAAGGAGAAAGAAACAGAAAAGGTGGATAACTGGTTTCTCTAACTGCCTTGATTGTGTATCACTTTATTGTCAATCTTCACTTAAGGAACATAGTATAAACAGAAAAGAATTGCACAGCCACAGATATTATGATAAGAGTGGTCCAGGTCAAGGCTTTTAACTGCCAACGCAGGACATACAATACAAACATATAAGACATAGAGATGTTAATAAACATGATTGCCGAGATCTTTAACAGTAGTTATTGTGTTCATGCCAAATAATCATCGTTAAACGTGATTAAATACCGGGGATCATTCAGCTTTAATGCCACATCTAACCTAGAAACATTAGTAATGGTAAAAAGGCTCATATTTGTCATTCTACTCTTAGTATGATACAATAAATTTCACCGTTATTTGTCATGTTAACGTGGTTCTAATATACGTGTAAGGGGAATCGGAAAACAAAAAATACGATTATATAGTTAAAGGTACTATGTCCCTTTTGCAGCCTACCTCAAATTATGTAGAACTTTGCAGGAATTATGAATATGTCATGTATGTCCTATCTGTGAAATTTAAACGTTAGCAGTGTCCTCATATTCAAATTATGCAAGGAAACCCGTTTACTTGCTAGACTTAACTGTCAGACACTATTGAGTGACTGACTGGCTTTTTTTCTTCTTTGGTAATAACATACATGAAAAGAGTTGTAAAGGGTACATGAGCATTTGTCTACATCAATAACCCACTTCTTTTGATGGCCAAGATTAAACTGATTGAATCTTTGCGCAGCATAAAACGTATGACCATTCGGTACAATTGTCTGAAAATCAAGACTATTACTTTTGGGCTCTATAGCCCTAAAGTCGATTTGACAACTAATAGTAATTTTTTTCCCACTTGAAGACATTTTCAAGCCCCACCTTTTTTAGGGAAGTTCTAAATAAGTGTTATCTTTCAAATGCAGTTGGAATTTAACTTTTTCATTTTTTGGCCTGCAAATGGGACATAGTACCTTTAAGACAACAAATTGAAATAATTTTGTTTTGAAGGATGCCAACAATATGAGACCTCTTTCTATTTGGTACACTTCTAATATCATGATATATACGTACTTCATCGCCAGCGCTCAAAATACACGGGGGCGGTGGGCAATTCGCCCCCGTGAGCTACATAATCGCCCCCGTCAGGTTGCTCACGGGGGCGATTGCAAAATTAAAAATCGCCCCGGTGAAATTATAAAATAAAGATTATCTTTTCTGTTATAACTTTAACACAATATTGAGTTTCAATTTTCAAACCTTAAACCAATGAAATGGAACTAAGATTAGCGTGCAAGATTTCTCGTTTTATAGGCCTATTATTACCGATTCAGCTCGCAGTGCAGTGTCGCCGTCAGCAGTGGTTATAGGCCTACTGCGCCGTTAGAAGCGGTACGTGTGCACGCTGCCGCGCCATGTCTGCTGGAGCTGGAGGCGATCGCGCAAGGGCAGAAACATGGTCAGTTTTTCGTTGTCAGCAAATAATGAACCTCGACCAGTAAATCAATATTAGGGACTTTTAGATTTGCACGTTGAGAACATGGACTGCAACGTGTGACCTCCTTTTAAGGCACTGCCAGTGCTTAAAAGGACGTCACATGTGACTGCCAGTGCCTTAAAAGGAAGTAACACGTCCACGCAAATCTAAAAGTCCCTATTGAGAAGAAGAGGAAGATGAAGAGAACAAAGATGTCGTGGAAGGATATGGGCAGATCTACGGGGGGGGGGGGGGGGGGGGGGGGTAAGGGGGTTTATTAAATAACCTTGTTTTCTTTTTTGTTTATTCAAACAAATATTCGCATCAATTTGAATCACAATCATTATTTGTCGCTTAATCCCTTTTAATGACCTTGTTTTCTTTCTCGTTTGCAAGGAGAGAAGAAGATATGTCACGTTAAAGACATCATAAAGATCAGTGTTGTATGCGTATATATTGTATACACAGACCAGTAACAGCTATGTAGCTTGTAAATTTGTAAGAGGGAAAATGCCGCAAAGAAAGTCAAGGCAGCCCCCAAGAAAGCGAAGAAGCCAGTAAAGAAAACGACTGAGAAGAAAGAGAAGAAGATAAGAAGAAATGATAATGATGAAATAGCAAATAATTGAGGAGTATCAAAGGTACCAATTCAATGGATATTTGTATAAAAAAGAGCCCCCGTCAGTACTAAAAGAGCCCCCATGAGAAGGCTCACGGGGGCTCTTTTTTTGGGGGGGGGGGGAAGAGCCCCCGTGGACAAAAAATTAATTTGAGCCCTGTTCATCGCACTACGCATGCTTCTTTTTCACCGCTCATCATGGTCGATTCAACTTTCTATAAATAATGCATCCACGTATAATGGGCGCATTTATTGCATATTGATGTGTCTCATTTTATATTCCAACGTCAAAGCAATGCAACACTATGACCTAATTCATAATGATATAAACTGACACCTCAGATATCGAATTAGAGCGTGAACTCTTTCCTTGTTTCAATGCGGTCCCGTGTAATGTATGCGAACTCTTCCCCAGTTGTTACACTGAATATTGATTGGTTAAAATAGACAGTAAACATGAATATCATGTTACATACGACTGTTCGGGTAGAAAAGGTGCATTTCGATTGATTCTTTTCCACTAGATTTACATCTCGATTACATGTTATACTGCATGATTTAAAGAAGGAACATTTCTCAAACATTAAAAGTAATACACAGTGTTAATAATGGTCATGGATCTTAAACAGCAATGTGACATAAATTCCTCCCCACACAAAGTAAATGTTTCGTTCAATTATTAAAAGAACAGAATTGATGAAAACTTAACACACTAAATCCTTTGAATACAAAACTGGCTCATATAAGGATATGGCTGAACATAATATGAACATGAATTTCAGCAATGTTTAATCCCAAGGAAAATATATAGGTTCAAACTCATGACACATATACCATTCTTTTTTCATAATGGGGGAGTGGTGATTAATCCCGCTTTATTACAAGCCGACCAATCTTCGGACATAAAAAAATACTTTCTTCCATAAAAAGCACTCAAACAAACATCGAAGAGGCTTTTTATTTTGTGTAATAAGCATGGTAAATGCGTACAAGGTCTCACCGTCAATTCCACATCCATCTATGATTGGCAGATAAATAGTACGACGTTCTTACAAATCAAGCGATGAAAGCTTTCTACTTTTGCTGTTCCCAGACGATATAATATCTTCACTTAAGAGGAAAACAAATCTTGCCTGAAATTGATCCGAGGAATTTTATTACAAGCCCATTCAGTAAAGTTTACTGAAGAAAAAAATTGCCATGTCACCGAACCGAAGGTAAGAAACCTAATATGCGTGTCTTGAAAATGAACGAGAAAGAAAATCTAGTCTTTCTCTGTTGGTCACAAATAGCGACATGTGAAAGAAAGAATGAAAAATGGAACGAGTAGACTTACCATTATCTCCCTCTTGAATGAGCGTAAAGGAAAACTGATATGAAGAATAAACCTGACAAGTTAAATAACTACGCTTCTTCTGATGAGAGCTATGTGAATGGTGGATTGTGATAGAATGAGCCTTTTCTATACCTTGCAATCGAAAGCAACAAAATTAAGTCCGCTTCGATTAGTCTTGCGGCTGGTGCATGCGCTCTCTTAAAGGCACAGTTTTCTTTTGACAGAGAAGTGAGAAATGACAAAATCTTCCATAGGTACACATCACCATTTTCCCCTAGTTGCTGTTGCTCTTAGAGTATCATTTACACATGTACCGTTTGTCATTATGTTATTGCTTTCTTGCCCCATTTTCGAATGAATAACTTCCTACATATTCGATTTCTAACTCATGCATTATGATTCTTTTATCTTTCTTCAAATTACTTGTTGAGGTTTATTGCAAGATCACCTTTTGATCCCTGTTTTAAAACATCCCCTCTCTCTCTCTCTCTCTCTCTCTCTCTCTCTCTCTCATTCTCTCCCTCTTTCTCTCTCACCCTCTCCCCCTCCCTTTTCCCTTCTCTCTTCCTCTCTCTTCTATTTCTCTCGCTCGTTTTGATTCTCTCAATATTCAACCACCATCCCATGTTTTAATTTTAAAAAATCTTGATAACGCTGTTCTTGATTTGCATAATATAACATAATAATTTGCCTAATAATAATTCATCCCCATTAATCTTCACAATTAGGGCATGTCACCATTTTTGTTTTAATGGCCCCTCCCATTATTTGAATAAATTCCTCCTACATTTAAAATGGTCACCTATCTACCTCTTTTTCTATTTTGCCAACCCTCCTTTACCCCCCTTTCGTGTTTAGTCTCTTTCTTCCATTTCACAAGATCCCTCTCCTTCCCCTTTATCCTCTGTAATCTCTCTTTCTCCTTTTCATGCCGTAGTGGCGCCCTTTAAGCTGTTTTTTGCTATGTGTGTAATTATTACTAGCAATCATCAAGAATTTAGAGATACTTCAAAGTTCATACACGGGGGAGGATCATGAAACCTTGACGATATCATGTTACATTGATAACCTATTCAATTTTGATGACTTCACCCCAATTGCTGAATGCACTGAAAGGCACAGAAAATGGTGCTAATGTCTCTACATTATTCCTTTTTTACCTTTTGTCGTATTAAAGTGACTCGGTAACATTGTTGAAGGTTTATGAAAAACTGCGTAATTTTTTGTATGAAATGTTACTTATTATATTATTCCTTCTACTGTACTAACTCTCTAACATGCACAATCTTTTTGAAGGCGTCACTGTGCAAAACCCTCTAACAGTAAATTCTCCCAACCATTTTTGAGTTTTCCCCAATCGTTTTTCCATGAAAATATGACATAAGACAGGTTTTTTTTTAATCTGTCAACACTTAAATGTCTGGAATGGTATAAAGAGCCAATTCATTGATTTGTGACGATTTACATTCATCTAAAATAAAATAAAATTATGATAATATAGTTGGGAGAATTAAGGAGTCGATCAGATCGGTTTTTCCTAATTTTCATCATTAATGATGGTTTTTTTTTCACTCAAACTTTCAGATTATCTTTAATTGTGCATCTAGCATTGAAGTCACTAACCTTAGCACCATTTTCTCTTATCTGACCAATGTTACCAAGGGGAAATCCACCCTGAATTATTTGTGTTAATAAAAGCAGAAAAACAAGAGAACAAAATTGGTGAAAGTATGAGCATTATCCAAATTAAAATGGGAAGGTTATGAGTCAGAAGTTGTCATCAGTGAAACACATATTGGTAATACTGTTACCTGTCTTGCGAAGTCCTCTCCAAATTGCGCTACACAAAACTTCAACCATTTTCAATTTCTTCTAGTTATTGATGACGTAATAGATTTGTTTCATACAGGGGGTATTTTCTTCAGGAAAATATCATTTCTGTTTCTTTTTTAGTACAGAGCAAATGGGAGGGGATATCGCAATATACGTCACAGAGTTGCCAATTTGTGTTTGATTGATCAGAACTTCAAAAATTCATAACTTTCTTATTTTGTTCGGATTTTACTCAAACAAGTGACCCGTTCCTATCATTTATTTTTAATTTTTAATCAAACCAACTTAATATCAGAGTGAACATCCACATTAAGAGCATTATATGCATTGTTAGAGCTGCTCAGTATCGTTTGAGTTATCATTACCATATCGTAAATAATCTACTTCACACCTGGCTGTAAAAAAAATAAAGAAAGTACATTTCCATGCAAGTTTTTTTAATAATATTATACAAAATATAAAGCTATATATATATATATATATATATATGATGTGAGAATTTTCAGTGCAGTGTTTAATTTTATTCGATTCTAAGTAAAATACATATCTGTGATGCTAGATCTCATTTAGTATAATTTTTGACGACAAATGTAGAACAATGTTGAGAATTCCATTAATTGCATGTTTTAACGATGAAGCTATCATCCAACTATTGATTTTATTTATAAGGGTTTTTTATATTTATATGGTGATACTATCGATATCTTTTTGATAATCTCCGTTCTCCGTAATTTTGAGTAAACAATTGTTTGGCGATGAAACGTTTTTATTTACACAGCATTATCCCAATATTTTCAATCATTTGCATTGAGATGTTTTGAATCACATACAAATTTTAACTACATCTTTTATTTCACTTCTGATATGAGGTATATACAAACAAAATCCTCTATAGCTTCAAAAACAGGATGATGCATTTACGTTAGCTTTCTATGTATGGTCAATATTTTGGCACATTACTGGAAAAGAATATAAATATGATGTTTTTTATGAGGAGAGAAGTTTGATAAGATGAATAAACAAAATTAGGAAACTAAAGTCTACTATGCTAACCCCCTTTTTACTGTTTTTTGGTTTTTTTTATTGCCTGTCATTGCTGGTAGAAAGCATAGACTTCCACATTTATTTTGAGGACAAGAACAAAACTAGACATATAATACTTGTTTGGAACAAGTATAGGTGGGCTGGTCAACTATATTTGAAAACAAAATAGAGCAAAAATAAGCGAGACACTGCTTAAGAATTCTTAAAAAACAATATCATGTAGATTCATTACGTGAACGAAATTCACCTTCTATAGTCATAACACGCAAATTATGAAATTTCTGACATGAGGCCTTTAATCGAAATATTTACTCTGATGACGTCATCAAAATGAAAAATGGTTATAATTGAACTTGTAGAGAATTATCTTAGCTACAACATATCGAAAATTTGAAGAAAATCGATCAATATATACAGAGATACAATCAATTTTCCATAAATATGCTGACGTCATATTATGCAAATTCCTATTTTTAGTTCGAAGGCCATTATGATGATGTCAAAATATTTTTAATCGCCAAATGAGACATTAAATCATATTTCCGACTCATACTCTATCTCAATATGAAAACAAAATGAAGGTCACGGCTTATTCCAAAGAGCTATAATGGATTTTGTATAGGCATGTTTTTGCCCATATATGTTATGTATTAAAAGAGCTCGCGCGCACGGACATTTATCTTGAATTGACGCTCATCTTGTTATTAATGGTCATAAAGAGATAAACATGGTATCAAATTCCTCGAAAAAATTAGAGAAATATCATGAAAGAAAAAAAAATGGCGATTCTATGTTTTGTAATGGTGTTACGCGCGAAAACGCGCGCGCATGCTCGTGTGCGCGATTTTTTATAAAATGCTTAAAATGACTTGAAACGTATGCAAAATAAATTTGAGACGATTTTGAGCATTTTGAAATTTTGCGCACGCACTGACGCGCGGACATACGCGCATGTGCGCGTTTTTTGACCTGAAATTGACCGGACTGATATTGACCTTCATCATTATAAATATGAATGAAAAATAACTTTTGGTTATGGAGATATGATCATGACTTGATTTTCAGAAAATTTTACAAAATGGCGCCTAGATGACGTCATCAGTGAAGGTCAAAGTTGAAAACGTTATTTTGCTTCGTCCATATGCCTATACATATTATGTGTGCCAAATTTCAAGGCATTTGATTTAGGCATTTTTTAGTTATCTTGCTCACAAAAAAGTGGTTCGAAATAAGAAAAATAAACTAGACATATAATACTTGTTTGGAACAAGTATAGGTGGGCTGGCAACTAAATTTGAGACAAAATAGAGCAAAAATAAGCGAGATACTGCTTAAAAATTCTTAAAAAACTATATCGTGTAGATTCATTATGTGACCGAAATTCACCTTTTATGGGCATAACACGCATATTATGAAATTTCTGACATGAGGCCTTTAATCGAAATTCATACTATGATGACGTCATCAAAATGAAAAATGGTTATTATTGAGCTTGTAGAGAATTATCTCAACTACAACATATCGACATTTGGAAGAAAATCGATCAATTTTTACAGACATACAATCAATTTTCCATAAATATGCTGACGTCATAATATGCAAATTCATATTTTGTGTTCCAAGGCCATTAAGGTGATGTCAAGATTCACTTAATGGCCACATGAGACATGGAATCATATCTCCGACTCATACTCTATCTAAATATGAACAAAAATTGAAGGTCACGGTTCATTCCAAAGAGCTATAATGGATTTTGTATAGGCATGTTTTTGCCCATATATGCTATGTATTAAAAGAGCTCGCGCGCACTGACATTTATCTTGAATTGACGCTCATCTTGTTATTAATGGTCATAAAGAGATAAACATGGTATCAAATTCCTTGAAAAAATATAATAAATATCATGAAGAAAAAAAATGGCGATTCTATGTTGTGTAATGGTGTTACGCGCGAAAACGCGCGCGCATGCACTTACGCGCGATTTTTTAATAAAATGCTTTAAATGACCTGAAACGTATGCAAAACAAATTTGAGACGATTTTGAGCATTTAACAATTTTGCGCGCGCACTGACGCGCGGACGTACGCGGACGCGCGCGTTTTTTGACCTGAAATTGACCGGACACATATTGACCTTGATCGTGATAAATATGAATGAGAAATGAATTACCGTTATGAAAATATGATCATGAGTAAATTTTCAGAAAATTTCACAAAATGGCGCCTAGATGACGTCATCAATCAA